CTCCCAGAATTCCCCACTTACTTGTGTGATTTGTGCTTTCAGGCTGCTGGCCTGTGAGCTGCACATTTCCTTACCCATTTCTCTTTTTACCTATTATTCTAGTCCATCTCTTGTACTTGCCCCCGGGACTTTCCCCCCACCCCACTAACCACGGATTCCTCTGATTGCTACTGAACTTCTGTCCCCAGTGCTCACTTTCAAAAGCATGCATGACCCTCTCTCTACATATGGTCCCTCAGCACACCCTAGCAAAGCCATTCTGTGTCTCTCCTGCTCCACTTGCACCATCAGTCTCAAAAATCCTTTGGTTTCTCAATCCTGCCCTTCTTTCTCAATATGACTGTCAATTCTCAGCAAGCTTCATGCACTAACTGTATACCCTTCTCTTCTGAAGGTCAAGGTTTCTTCTAGCTGTCTGCACCCTTAGCCCTTAGCCAACATCTGCGGCTTCTGATCTTTCCTTCTATGGAGAGCCCCTAGTGGAAATCCTACAGCAAGGCTGATGGAATCAATCTCAATCTCCAAATCCTCAGTGTACATTCCTTTCTTAAATTCGTTCAAGAGGAATTCAGCAAGTTACTGCATCCAAATGTTCTCTCTCAGTAAATACACAGAACTCTCCTAAAGATACTTCAAGAGAAGCTTTATTTTCAAATGGAAATTTAAAGGCTCTTCGAATAGATTTATCAAAGAAGGAAAGAATGAATCAAGTTCAAGCTTGGCACCTGTGGAGGCAGCTCCTAGTGGATTTGAGATAGCAATAAGAGAACACATCAAATGTTTTGCTCCCAAACACGTAGCCCAGCATGACTAGAGTGGTGGAGTCAGGTTCTTAGGGGCTGTTCTTTTGGCATCCTCAAGCACTCAAAAGCAGAGGAAAAAGAAAACCATTTTAAATAAACGCATTTGTCTCCGTTTATTTTAGGGACATATTAGGCTTTGATATTAGTTACCATGAGGTCATTCTTGTTACAGGGAGCAACACATTTCTGGCTCTTCTCTGTTCCTTGACAACCAACTCCATACAGTCATTGGCAGTATTTTCTGGTAGTACTGGCAAGCACTTGGGTTTTCTTAGCACTGTCTAGATTTAACAATTCAATACAAATTGTGACCTTTTCTAGCCACGCTAAATAAAGCCAATAGGCCTTTCCTGTCTTATCCCATGGCCTTAATCCTGAAAGCCCATGTATGGTCTGCAACAGGCAATGCAAGTCTGTGAATGCTCTGCTTGGGCACAGTTCCTTAAGAGTATGGGAAAGATCCATCTCACAGAGAGCTAAATGTGCCTACTCAAATACTCTCTGACTGAAGTGAGAAAATGTAAAAAAAATAGCAAAAACCCCAGAAAAATGTTTTACTCTTCAAGAAAGGATGTTTCTCAGGTAACAAGTCTCTGAATCATGCTCAGGGGATATCAAGTTATGTTCTTCCAGTTTCAGTGATCCTGTTCAGAATTGTTTGTCTGTTTTCTCATTTACCAAATGTATGTAAACCATCTTGCTGTTCCGCCATCTCTTTCATATGTGAAAGATTCAGTCACATATGAAATAAAACAAGCTCTCCTCTACTTGGAGTTGAAAAAAATGCATTCACAGAATCAAACCTAAACAATATCCTCCTGTACACAATACATAAAACATGTAGCATGGTAAGAAGGCTTCAGCTGAGCTGGGAAGAGAGCTCCAAATTCAAGAGCAAAACATAGATTGCATCTTCTTAGCAACTGTCTTCACTTTATACTGATAGTTGCAGTGAAAACACTACTGCTGAGGGAAAAACGACATAGGGAAAAGAACAAATTGTCGAGTGGTAGATTCCTAACTTCTAGTTAAAAAACCATAACCAAGAACTAAGCCCCAGCAGGGGACCCATGGAAAACCATAGGTACAAAGGAAGGAAGTCCCACGAGGCTGTATGTAACTAGGCCATTTGCATGTGTAATCTCATTTTAATGCACTGTGCTAACCTGGCAGGTTCTGCCAACAAGGACAGCAAATATTAATCAAGTAATTCCCAGCCCTCTGAGTAATTAAGGTCTCTACTTCAGTGTGGTCACTTGGCGGCAGGAAGACAATGCACCTCAGCTGTAAAAGATAGGCATGCCCTGAGTGAGACAGATCAAAACCCCCTCACTTTTCATGCTACCTGCTAGACTTTTCCAATCTGTGAATGTGAGGTATCATAATGATTTCATAGAGACAAGATTTCGCTTGCATCCTCAACCAAATCTTGGACAGAGTCTTCAATAGCACCTGCAGGCTGAAGACATGCACACCTCACAGAAGATGGCATGGTGTAGCTTGTATCTGCCTCCACCCTCCCCCAAAGACCTCCTTTCATAAGAGTAGAAGGAGAAATGGGTTTCAAGTGCATAACTTAGCATGATGGCCTTTAGGCTGAATAAGCAACTGTCTCAGGTCATTTATAGAGAGATCACAGCTTGGAAGAAGGTGAATCACTTGAGAGTAGCCCTATCCATTTTGGAAATAATATATGTGTAAGCAAAACTAATAAACAGCAAAAGCAAAGGGAAACGATCATAGGCTGTGACTGGGTATCTGCTTAGTGGTTAATTTCTTAATGCAGAATCTTCCTCTGCTTTGCTTGTACTACAATTTCCTCTTACCTTGTAGATGCAAGATGCAGATATATTGTAGTAGGCAAGACCAGGCCATATGACTGTCAAACTGATGACTGTAACAGATTCTTAAAAGATTTCAAGACACCTCTGGTTTTATTTCACTTACAGAACTGCATTGTTTAAATTTTATATTCTTATTAGACACTACTGCATGTGTTTATTTAGATAATTTTGAGAATACAGGAGTTGCCATAGGAGGTCACATCACAGGTACAGTACCTCTGCCAGCCTGTTTCCAGGCACCATCAGAGGAAGGTCAAGAAATATCACAGTTAGGCATTACTATATATGGCTTAAAGACATAATTACTTTCTCCTGAAGGCATGAGGCTGTCCTTATCTTACAATTACAAGTATTATTCTTTTTTAAGAAGGGTATGTATGTTTATAAAAGCAAACGGCAGAATGTGACTGTTGTCCTGGGACACAACATCCCACTTCAGCTGGATTACTAGCATTTTATGATCACTCAGTGTGTGGATGTGTATGAATAATGATCTTTCTTTCACTGGACTGAAGGGACAAATTGCATAGTTGAAACAGAATGGTAGTACTGCCTTGAGCCCATGTTCCTCTCACATCAGTTTTATCTCACTTGATAGGTGGAAATTTTGGAAAATAACTTCTCAGTTGAGAGAAGGGTATTGTGAGGTGAGAAGAAAGAGAATATGAGAAGTAAATAGGGGGTCATGAAATGTTTGCAGAAAGGATAAAGGACAGATGGTATCAAAGGAGAAGCGTAAATAAAACAAAGGCTTAGTGAAAGCTAAAATGCTAGAATGACAAGTATATTAACTCCGTCATGCAAGTCAGGTGCTTGATTAGAAACTGCCCAAAGACTTGATTTAATGCTGTATAAGAAAGATTATTTCTGTTTTAGTTTAGTTTTTCACAAACATTTGCATTTCTTAAAATAAACTTCAGAGTGTTTGGATTACTGACTTATTCTGTAATCAATTTTACAGAAAGAATTTATGATCTAGTAAAGAATAAAGACAGTGTTCTATCTTTTCTGTTGCTGCTTAAATACTGATGCAGGAAATCATTTGCCTCTTCTCAATTTTATTTGATAGAACAAAAACCCTAAGCAATAAAACTAAGGTCCAAGAAAAACATTTAGCTTGAAAAAATGTTGAAAAATGTACCCTTGGAAAGACCACTGCTTACATGGGATTGTTCAACAAATTCCTGTTGTGTGAGGTTTGGCATATACTTTCTAAAAATATAAGCATCTGGGGAAACCAGACAAAGCCCAGGTCTTGGACCAAACGAGGCATGCAGCGTGAATCTGCTAGCGATTATATCCATAATGAAATATGTGCCCAAATTTAGCAGTACAAAACCCCCAATACAATGTGAAAACACAGCATGTACAGCCCTTACCATAAAATATAGCCAACAGCGAAGGTGCACACTGCAGCCAGTCCACAGCTCCTGCTGGGATACTGATGATGTGTTGTTCTCATCTCGATTAATACAAAGGGCAAAACTGTTGTATGCTGGAAAAAAACAAAACAATGGGGGAAAACCTGGTGATACAAATGGTTCTCACTGTATTTCCATTTTAATTCTACAATAAGAAATGTAATCGCAGAAACCTGGACAGTTCTTGATGGTTAGAAAGACATGGTAAAATGAGTCTATAAAGTTGATCAATAACCCAAACAATGTCATCGCTGTAATGTTCAATTGTTTGAGAGAGCAGAGAAAAAACTTAGTGACCAGAATGTGCTATGCCTTTTGTCCAGGAATCCAAGGCAGATACTCAGTGAATAAAAAGGGCATGTGGCATGAGGTGACATGGGTCTCAGTCCTGGTCTGGCCTTGCAGTTGCTCTGTGATCTTTGCCATGACACTTTGGTTATTTTGACCATTCAAGTCAGGAGGCAATGCATCTGATTTTCAGAGACTAAGTACAAACAATGTCAAATGAATGAATATAAATTGAGGTATTTAATGCTTCTGAGAATTAGGTTTAAATGTATCTCAATCTGGGGACTTGAAAACGGGACATATTTTCAAATGATAGCCTCAGTACCTCTGTTCTTCCATCTGCAAGACAGGAGCAATTATCTTCAGAAAGGTGTTGTGAATCTTAATTTGTTGTTGTTGTGCAAAATAGTTTTAAATTCCCAAATGAAACATATGAAAGCCAAAGCTGTAAAAACCATTTTCAGCCACTTGTCTTTATTTAGCTGTGAAACTCCTTATTTTGTCATTTCCCCATATACATTTCCTGCACTGCCCCTTCTGAGAAGGCCTGTTCATCCAATTAATGTCAGCAGCATGATAAACTGCATCCAGCCTGCCCCCAACACTCCATGTCTACATTTCACAGTGCTGGCAGGCATGAAAATATACATAAGCAAAGAACAAATATGCCAGGAAATAACCCTCATCATTTCTGAATATATAGCTCACCTAGGATCAGCACTACTGGTGACTTCAGAAACATACCCTGCCTTGCCACCCTGGGGCCATGTTACTGCTGGTGTCTAAAGGGAATTACTTTGCTTGAGAGCTCAGCTCTGGGGCTTGGTATGACTGTGACTGTGAACTCTCCTGCCCAGTCCACAGGAAGGTCTGCAGATGTAAGGCTTGCAAGGGCAGACTAAGTCCTAAACCAGGTTCAATCATTCCCCAAGTACTTGATTACCAAGTGGAAAGTAAAGTTACGGTGTACATTGGCCATGTTCTGCCATCAGATGCCGACATGTAGTTCTGGGGGAAGCTGGGGAGCTTGTAATAATTACAACGTAAATCTACACTGACTTTGACCAACATGAAGACAGGACAGGCATAATGTAGAAATATCCTTGTATGGGTAACAGGTTCAAATGAGAGGAAAGAGAATGGGGTCTGAGCCTTTAACAACTGCAGAGAAGAGTTGTTTGAATGAGAAATGATAAGATAATGGAAATGCTCTCGCTGAGAGATGTAACATAATTTGAATTGGATTACTGCTCTGATTTTCAAGGCATAAGTAATTAATGACTAGCATTTGGAGAATGTCAGGTGGATAATATGGCAGCTAGGGAAGCTTTCAATTTCTCCATATTTTAACAACTTGTTCCACCCCTATCCCTTTAAATAGTAAAAATCAGCATCAAGGGAATGGAAATATATTTTACATGTGGTCTGCTATAAAGGTGCCCACTATTAGATCAGAGGTCTATAAGCTGCAGAGAACCTTCAGAGTCCATTAACATGAACTGACAGCAAAACAAGCCCTGGAGATTCACCTGTACACCTTGTGCCTGAATGGAAAAGGTCTCTAGGCAGAGATCAGTACCTCACGCTGCACAGCCACAAAGCTGGGCAGCTGGAGGCTGTGTAAATGTCTCCTGCCTTGCCTCCATAACTTCTTCAGGGGAAAAAAACAGAAGACAACAAAGACTGTTAGTTCCAAACACCACCCTTGATATTTTTGTATGATTTATTCCTGTGATCCAGTCACTTAGATTTAACCCTTCACTATATGGATGGTGGTTACAGAGCTCGTGAGCTCCGTTTCTCAATGGAAATGTTTACCACTTCAGATACACCTTGTCGATGAGTTCTTCAACTCAACAGCTTGCCAATTAAGAAGTAGTTAAAATAATTTCAGCAATCAACCCTTAATCTAGAATACTTTTCTCCTTTCCCTCCTCTCAATTTCTGTGGTTATATAAGAAAATAAGTTATTATTTTCCTACATTCTCACTTCTGCTCTTTTCTAAAGGTAAGGGGCAGGGGGAAAAACGATAATGAGCTGTATCACTAAAGTTTGTGTACAAAATCCTGTTAAAAGTACAGTGCAATTAAAAGTGTAAGGAGAACATCAGACGTGCATCTTTAATCTCAGTCTCTTAGAAGCAATGTTGATGCTATGTGCAAACACTGCAGTTTTACAAATCCAGAGTATGAATTTAGGTTTCAAATGTTTGAGTGAAAGTGCCACTCTAAAAAGCTGTTCAGATCCTTTACCAAACTACAACCAAGATAAAATTTCCCTTCTCTACATTTCATTCCCTCCAAAAATATGATTTAAAGAACATTAAATTTTGTAGGCAGGGATACCTTCTGTCCAACAGTGCCAATTAAAACTCTACACTGAAGCACAGTGAAGATGAGCAGGGTTCAAATGTGCCTGCAGTGGGATCCATCAGGGCTGGAAAGCTGCAGGAGGCCTACAATTTCATATCCTTTTATGTTTTTGCCACCTGATTTCTGAATAAACTTGGGCCAATGGGAATCTGAGGCCTAGAGAAAAAATAACATTGATACTTCCCTGATCTGCCTGGCTGGTATCTCTGGGACTGATCCCTTTTACTTACTGGCAGGATGGAGGACAGAACAATGTTTCCCACCTTGTTTGTCAAAGTATCTCCAGGGACTTAGTTCAGAGAAGACTTAAAAAATGAGAAGGTTGAAATAACAAAGAGGTTTAAATGGTAAGGATGATTAGCTGCTTTGACAGTTTTCCAGAAGTTGCTATTTTGAACCATTAAAAGTTTTTAAGAAAAGGACAAATTTATAATTAGAGTATAATGACTAGTACAATATTATAATAGTAGTAAACTATGCTAGCACTAGTAATCAATGCTATATTGATAAGACACTTTTCTTATGGACTAAGTCTTTACAAACAAAGCTGCATTTTTTATCTCGACATCTTATTCTACTCCCACTGAGACCAACTGCTCCTGTGAGGCAGCTTTGCCTGTATGACTGTGTTGACACTAGGGATTTGTGCTGAACAATGCTGTGGCCACATCAGGAAGCACCATCTCCATTGTCTGGGAAGGCAATATTCGTTGCAGATGTTCCCTGTGGAGACTGCAGGCTTGGTGTAGCCCCCAGCCCCGCCCGGGCAGCAGTGACTGAGCCAGTGAACACTATAAATAGCAGGAGCTCCTAGATTGAGCTTTTACAGGGCTCAGTAACTGTATCTACTTGCATGAAAACGTATCCAGTCAGCTTCTCCTGCTGGGACTGCAGTGCTACCTGCCAAGGTGCCCTCCTAGCCACAAGTTCTTTTTAACTCTGGAGTGCCAAGACAATGATCCCTTCTCTGAAGGATCCAGCTGCCAAGACCACCTTGTGAGCTGAAGTGTGACCATTAGTCCCCATTACCTGGCCACAGCATTGCCCTGCTCAGACCCCATTACTGCCTGCCCCTGCTGCTGGAAAGGCAGCTTTGACAGGTCTTTTTGCTAGGAAGTGCTGGTCTCTGCAGAGCAGCAAGCTGAAATTTCCTCCTGGTTCTGTGTTCATCACATGGCACTGCCTCCCAAGGACCCATCACCTGCAAGTGGTGAAGAAATCTGGTTTGCCAAATCTTCAACTGCCGGAAACGATGCATAAAACCAGAGAAAACCCTGCACAATGCACAGAGCCGAGGTGGAATGTGAAGGAAAGTTATCATACGGGGAATCTGATCCACAAAACACTCCAGAGACTGACTCCAAGGAAGCAACCTCTGAGTGAAGCTGAATTAGCATACACTGTAAAAGCCACCTTGAGACCCTACAGGTGGATTAATTCCCAGAGCCAATGTCACTTCTTTCTGAGAGAAACTCTGCTCATTAATAACTTTTAAAGAGATATTACTAAAATATGTGCCACCTCCAACATGGGATATATATATATGCACCTAATGACATCTGAGACCTGAAAATCACATTAAAAATATGCAGCACATCTGTAGTGCTGGCTTGGGAAGTTGAGCTTTGATGGAGGACTGTGCTTCCCCATTTTAGGTAGGTTTGGCGACCGATAGTTGGAAAAAAAGATTTTATGCAAATTAGGTACATTAACAATGAGTTCTGTAATAGTCTTTAGGCAAATTAAGTGCTCATTCTTGAAAGCCTGATTATATATATTATCTTCCAACCAGTAAGTGCTGCTTTTTTTAACACTGGCTTCATCAGTACCTTGCTTGGCCTTTTCTTCCTCACTTAATTGTGCTTTAAATGGAATGCTGAAGTTTTTCAAAGGGTGCTAAATTGACAGCTTTATGTATTGGTATCTTCTGTTCTTAGCACAAACATGGTAGCACTGTCTTCCCAAGTCACTCTCCTGATCTGCAGTGACTGTCCAGAACTACCCTTATGACAAGGAGTTCAGTCTCTAAAGGCATCTCAGATGCCCAGTCAGCATGCAAAAGTTCTGCAGGGAGGGTTAAACTGTTCAGGGATCACATCAATCACGATTACAATTAATTTCAAACAACAGCAGACTGTGACTTGCTACTCAATTTGATCAGAATAAAAACTACATGGCATAGGACATTTTAGTTCAATGGAAATACTGAGGACCTCTGAGGCCTTCACCATGACAGTTAGCCTATTTCTTAAGAGTCAGTGCAAGCCAGTGACAAGAAAGGAGGCCTTGCAGTTTTGATGTCCACCAACATTTTAACTGAGGGATGGGAGCTTCCTAAGAGTGCTGGTTTACCCTGCAACAAGGAGGCTGCAGATAGGTCTTCACCCACCAAATCTGTGCAGCCTGGGACCTG